GTTAAGATTGCTGTTTAAAAATCCTGGCCCACTGAGAGTTTTGGCTTCCTGTCTCACTGCATGATTTCTTCCTCGTACATGTCTCCACTATGAGTCTTGCTAATGTTGGTGCCATGCTTCAACAACCACAAATGTTAGATACACAGACTTATTTTCTTTGTGTAATTGCCTAGCCTCAGCAACGTTATTACTGTAGTGAAAACACAATGCACTGACTATTCTTTGAGATTTCTAAATCTTGGTGGATTAAACACTAGAGAAGATTTTAGGGCCCTGACTCTAATATTTTATTCCTGCCTCTTCTCTAAACAGACTAAATGATAACGTGCCATTTATTCATTTATTACTTATTCATATATTGGTTAAATCTACCAAGTAACTGTCACTAATCCCACATTGTACTAAGGGCACCTGACATCTGATTTGATAATACTATTTTCTTTTCTTTTTTGCAATACAATTCAGTTCTACATATCAGCCATGGATTCCCTTGTTCTCCCCCTCCCGCCCCGCTCACCTTCCCCCCAGCCCACCCCCCATTCCCACCCCCTCCAGGGCAAAGCCTCCCCTGCAGACTGAGATCAACCTGGTAGACTCAGTCCAGGCAGGTCCAGTCCCCTCCTCCCAGGCCAAGCCAAGCGACCCTGAATAGGCCCCAGGTTTCAAACAGCCAACTCATGCAATGAGCACAGGACCCGGTCCCACTGCCTGGATGCCTCCCAAACAGATCTATTTTCTAAGACAAGGTCATGTTGTACAGCAATCCTCCTACATCCATTTCTCAAGTACTGGCATTTATACCACCAGGCCCAGACAACAATATTATTTTTTAACTTTTGTGTGTGATAGAAGTCAATGCTGGTTATTTATTTATTTATTTATTTATTTATTTATTTATTTATTTATTCTATTATCAGCTTGATAAAGTACAAATTCTTATCCTAATAGTGAAATGTTTCACTGAAGCTTGCCCAGTGATTGAGTAAAACCAAAACTTATTATAAGCCACAGTCATCCTAGGGTGCCCCCTGCTATGTAGCCTCCCTGGTTCTGTGGGTTACAGTCTGATTGTTCTTTGCCTTATATCTATTACCCACTTATAAGTGAGTACATACCATGTTTATCCTTCTAGGTTTGGGTTACCTCACTCAGGATAATATTTTCTAGTTCCATCCATTTGCCTGCAAATTTCATGCTGTCATTGTTTTTCTCTGCTGAGTAGTACTCCATTGTGTATATGTACCACATTTTCTTAATCCATTCTTCGGTTGATGGGCATCTAGGTTGTTTCTATGTTCTGGCTATTATGAATAATGCTGCTATGAACATAGTTGAGCATGTATCTTTGTGCTATGATTGAGCATTTCTTGGGTATATGCCCAAGAGTGGGGTCAATGCTGGTTTTAAAGTCACTTTTAAGCCAAATCTTCAGAAAGCCTGTCTCCATTAGGAAAAACTTCTCAGGTGCCTGACTTTGGAGAAAATGCCCAGGATTTCTGAAGCAATCTTGTCTACCCCTACAGCCTTTGTTTTTGGGGAAAACTAAAGTATAAAGCAGGGATAGTTGCAGAGCTGGGAGCAAATGTGGACCCTATTTTACATGGGGTGATGAGGCTAGACGTGCAGCTTAGTGGCAGAGCGTGGACCTCAGCATGCATGAGCCCTGGACTCAGTTTCTAGCACTAAATAGACGAGGTGATAGGTGGGCCTCACCAGGCCACCCCAAGGAACACTAAATATTAGAATTGGATGACTGTGGCAATGTAGAAATTATCTCATGACATCGTCAAAGGAAAACCAAAGGTTACTCAAGGAATAGATGATGAAGCTCCGAATATATAAACCCACACATATACACATAATGGAATATAAAAACAGGTATAATTATGGATGCCTTTAATATCATAGTATTATTTTTCTGAGTATATTATGCTTTCAGTTTAAAAAGTGTTTTTATGATGTCTGAGTCAGCTATCCACTACTATAACAAAATACCTGAGATAATCAACTTGTAAGAATTATAGTTTGGCTCCCTGTGGTGGTTTGAAGGAGAATGGCCTCCATAAGCTCATGTGTTTGAATGCTTAGTTCTCAGTTGGTGGAAGTGTTTAGGAAGGAGTAGGAGGCGTGGTCTCCTTGGCGTAGATGTGGCTTTGTTGGAGGTGTGTCACAAGGCATGGGCGCCAACACCAGGCCCAGTCTCAGGCTCTCTCTCTGCCCACAACTTGAGGACCATGTGAGCTCTCAGCTACTGCTCCAGCACCATGCCGCCTGCCTGTTGCCGTGCTTCCTGCCGTGACTGGTCACGGACTCACCCTCTGACACTGTAAGCAAGTCCCCAACTAAATGATTTCTTTTATAAGGTTCACCTTGGTCATGGTGTCTCCTCACTGCACTGGCAGCCTGACTAAGACACTCACGATTGTAAAGGTTTTCATCGGTGACAGGTTGGCCTCGTGGCTTGGGGCCTTTGGTGGCACATGGTGGAAATGACAGCGCAGAGCTGTGCACTTTGAGCCTGGAAAACGGTTAAGTGGGGAAGGGGTTTGCCGCTCTTGCCCAGGACCCACGTTCGGTCCGCAGCACCCACCTCTAATTCCAGTTCTAAGGGATCTGCCACCCTCTTCCTGCCTCCACAGACACACATGTACATGAGGAACACACACATATACACATGTACACATGTACACACAAATAAAAATAAATCTTAAAAAAAAAAAAAAAGAGGTTGTGTGCCTTACGGTGGCTAGGGATAAGGAGAGAGATGAAAACGTGGCCACACTCTCAAGATGCCCTTCACAGGCCCCCAGTGGTGGAAGACTTTAATCCATTGTTCCAAAAATGTTTGTTTAAGTGGCCTGGCCAAAGCAGGACAACCCATGACTGGTTTCTTTCCCATCGTGCTGATTCACGCTTTCTAAGTACTAAGCATTGGCCCATCTAGAGAAGAGGGCAATGTGTTAGAGCTGGCTTCCTTAAAGGCTGGCTTCCTCACCAGCACGTCACATGTGCAAGCCAAAACCTCAAAACGCAGTTTTGGGAGTTTGATTTCCCAAGAGCTCAGTTGCACTTACCTAAATTTTCTTTTGCTCATCCTCCCATTAAAAAACAAAAACACGGCAGTGCTAAAGGCAAAAAAAAAAAAAATGCATATGGAAGAGACCCTTGCACACCCATGTTTATCACAACCACGTTCACAGTCGCTGAGACATCCCTTCAACCCAAGTGCTCAGTGGTGGGTGAACGGATGAGGATATGTGGTATATGAAGTTGGTACAGCGTTATTCAGCCATAAAGACATGTGGAATCATACAACATACAGCAAAATGGATGGAGCTGGAATGGGGTGGGGGTGGGAAGTGAGCTAAGCCAAACGCAGGAGGATAAGAACCAAAGTTGGCCTGGAAAACAGAATAGAGATTGGGGAGGGTGGGCAGGTATGGAAAAATCAGGGAGTTAGATTTGATCAGCACACACTGTATGCATGTATGGGAAAGGTACCTTGAACCTCATTCATATGTACAGTTAGCATATAGTAACTAAAAAATTTAAAGTAGGTCTCTTGGGGAAAAAGGTACTATGCAATAAACAGGCTTCTCAGGATAGATTACCAATCATTCTATTACCATGTACTGCTATTGAGAAATTGGACTTGAAAAACCCACTGAGAGGTAGAAGAGAGCGGGCGGGAGCCTGCGGGTGAGTTAAACTTGAGTATGAAAGGAGAAGAGGAGGCCTCATGTTTCCCCCAACCCTTTCTTCCTCCTGATGGCTTCTCTTTCCTCCTCCTTCCTTCTGAACAGTCCCTGTTGTTTCAGGTCTCTGGGCGCTCTGGGTTGTTTTGGTGTAACTCTGTCGTTAAGATGGATGCACTTGAGTCTGAGGAGTCCAGCCACGGCTCCCGTGTAACTTGCACAAGTTACTAACATCTGAGTATACGTTTTCTTGAGAGGAAAATAGTCACAGCACTTTGCAGACCTTCCTCAAGGATGCTGTTAGTTACAGCGTGCTCCCTGGAACATATTACACAGGCTCACTCATATTTCTCATAATTACATAATTAATAATAAACTCATATTTCTCCTTCCTCAAGCATGCCTTTAAGTCACAGAGCATGCCCATGCACATTGTGGCCTCATTGAACCCTATAGAGAGGTATTATAATCAATATACAGAGGTGAGAAATAACTTGCCCGGGCCACAGGGGTCTCCATCCAAGGTTCCCCTGCTACTAGTTGCCACGTTCATACAAATTAGAGACACAGTTCTCTTTACGTAGAGTAGATAACCTATTCACAGTGTGAGTAGTCTACGAGGTACACGATGGTACTATAGCAACAGCAGGCCTCTCTCCCACCTCAGTCTCCCACCCACTCACTTTCCCTCCCCATTCTGGAGTTGCTCACATGAATGTTTATTAAATGTACTGGTTTGCTTATGGCAAGCCATACTCTCCAGTACCTAATCAAAGGTAATATAAAAACTAGGCAAGAAGCAACACGGTTTAAGGTGAGTATGAAAATAGAGAAAGGCTCAATATCGAGAAGGGAGAGCTTCAAAGGGAACACAGTCAGGTTTGGGTGGGGTTGGAGGAAGCCTGTGGGACAACGCCACAAAAACCAGGAAGCTGTTTTCAGAATGACCGAGTTTGCTTCCCTGATGCTGTGATATGACACTGACCAAAAGCAGCTTGGGGAGGGAGGAGAGGGGTTATTCAGCTTACAGGCTACAGTTCATCATGGAGGAAAGCCAAGGCAGGAACTCAAGACAGGAATCTAGAGGCAGGAACTGAAGCAGAAACCATAGAGGACTCTGCTTACTGGATTGCTTCCAAAGGCTCAGATTCAGCCACCTTTCTTATACAGCCCAGGCCCATCTGCCCAGGGAGGGCCTGCCTTTTGGAGACAATCCAGAGCCAAACTGTAGCAACAGCTAATGCCTAGAAATGTGTGTAAATGTGCAATGTGAAATTCACTCCATAACTCTTTTCAGATTCTATCATGACGGCCATCCGACTACGCGAATTTGTAGAGCGTCGTCCAGTGGCTCCACCTAGGTAAGGCTCATCTGGATACAGAAACCACCAGGGCTAAAGAAGGCAAGCACCCAGGAGAATAGAATCACCCACCCAGCTGCCCAGCCACTGAGGGGCAACTGCTGCCAGAGGGGTCTAGGGAAATGTCCTTGACTCTAGAGAAAATTGTGTTTGTTTTTTGAAGACTTAAAAAAAAAGTGTGTGAGCATGTGTGTGAGTGTATGAGTGAGTGAGTGTGTGTGTGTGTATGTGTTGTGTGTGTGTGTGTGTGTGTGTGTGTGTGTGTGTGTGACATGCTTGCAAGTGCCCTTGGAGGCCAGAAGAGGACATTAGGTTCTGGATTTGGAGTTACAGGTGGTTGTAAGCTGCCTGATATGGATGTTGGTAACTGAATCAGGGTCCTCTGGAAGAGCATCAAGGGGTCTTAACCACAGAACCAATCTCCAGCCCCAAGGTTAGACAAAGTTGTAAGAAAAAAAAAATTACTTCTTTGCAGAATCCAAGCAACCGGGAAACTCCAAATACCCAAGATAAGAGATGGGTGTTGGTTTTCTCTTGGGAAGGGCTCCACCAGGAAGAATGGGCCACTCAAGCCCAAACTTAGAACCAGAACCATTTGTTTTCCTTGGGGTAAATCAAAACACCCCACCCCTCTGCAATGTGGGAGCTGACTGGACAGAGAGACCAAGGGGGCCTTTCATTCATTCTCCAAGGCCACCTATCACAGGACAGTAATAAGCCCTATAGGCATGCTTCACTGCCGACTTTATCTTGCCGGGAGATGGCAGGTACCATCGGTAAGTCCTAAGCCCTCTTTCCCATCACCCCATGCTGTGGGGTCTGCAAAGATTTAATAACTAAGAAACTTGGAGCTGCAAGCCTCATACCCTGGGGCCCAGCCAGCCTCTTTTTTTTTTTTTTTTCAGCTTTTTAAAATTATTTCTAAGTTGTTATAGAAAATGAGTTTTATTATGATATCTCCACAAATATAAATTACTGCACCCAATTACCTCCCTCTGTTTCTCTTTCCCCAACTCTCACTGGTCCCCTTGCTACCTGCAAATAATCCTCTTTCTGGTTGCATGTCATGTATATTAGTCCATGTCTGTGTTTGTATTACACAGGCCTTGTTTCTACTTTCCTGTTCAGTGTTTGGCTAAGGAAGAGAAGCCCCTTTGTTTCCAGAAGTTACTGCAGGAGGCGTGAGTGGAAGGGTGCTTCCTTCCTGGATATCCTGAGAATCCCCTTGTCATGGAGCAGGAGAGATGCTCATGGCTCAGGGAACAAAGGCTCCTGCCACCAAATCTGAACACCTGAATTCCGTCTCCAGGACCTCCATGGTAGAGAGAACCAACTCCTGCAGGTTGTCCTCTGACCTCCACAGGTGTGGCACACGTGTGTGCCCACACACATACACAAACCCATGGATACGTAAATACATGTTTAAAAAAGAAAGAAGTTTCTGCCAGAGAAGGCACAGACCCTTCTGAGTCCTCTGAACTCCACCCCAGGAGGAAGGAGGATGGAGAGAAACCAGAATCGGGCTCTGCATTCTCATCCCTTCCTCCTTCAAGTCCTTGGTCCTCCTGTGTATGGGTGAGATCACCTTGTCTACTGGGGGCTCATCTCCTAGGAAAAATGGACACAAATTTTTGTTGGCCGCTGCTTGCTCTGGGGAGCTGTGGGGAACCACACCCATCACTTGTGTCCTGAGCCAGGCCCTGGGGAGCTCAAGGGTTTGAGCAGGACAGTGTGTAGAGCACCCTGGGGCCTCTGGCTGTCGGTATTCAGCTCGTTCTTGCTTCTCATCTGAAGCACGTGAAAGGAATCCCTGCCCTTGGACTAGACATGGTACCTCAACCGTCCTCCCCCGCGCCCCACTGCAGTGTGCCCTATGAGGTGGCTCTCTGCCCACCTTAGACCCTGCCGATAACAGTCTAATTCCCCAGTGAGTCCTGTCAACTCTGCCGCCAGGACAGTTCTCCCGTCAGAAAGCTTGCGAGTTGGTCAGCTTGGCCCTGTGGCTGTGGTGGCACAGAACACCACAAGAGCAGTGCGTTAGCTACTTCTCTCATCGCTACGACAGGATAACTGATGAATGCTGCTTAAGAAAGGGTTTGTCTGGGCTCGTGTTTAAGGGTACAGCGCACCATCACGGCAGGGAAGACATGGCAGGTGGTACCTGGTCACGTGGTGTCAGGAAGCAGAGGAGGGTGAATGCTGGCACTCCACTTGCTTTCTCCTTCGTATTCAGCCTGGATCCCAGCCCGAGGCCTGGCAGGTGCCTCCCACATTCAAGATGGATCTGCCCATCTCAGTTTAATCTCTCTGGAGACGCTCTCACAGAACACACATACAGTGTGTCTTCTAGACTCCCATCAAGTTAGCAATCAACATTAATCTGTATTAGCTGCATGGCTAATATCACCCAGGAAGGAGGCGAGAGATGGAGGATCAAGGGTCCCAACATCCCCTGTGTAGGTGGAAGTTTCTCTCCTGCCTGCCTGTTCCCAAATACCCAGCAGCCGCTTCCCAGATCATTGACTCAGAGGTTCAATATTACTTATAAATACTCAGCCAGTAGCTCAGGCTTATTACTAACTAGCTCTTTTTTTTTTTTTTTAAAGATTTATTTATTATGCATACAGTGCTCTGCCTGCATGTATCCCTGCAGGCCGGAAGAGGGCACCAGATCTCATTACAGATGGTTGTGAGCCACCATGTGGTTGCTGGGAATAGAACTCAGGACCTTTGGAAGAGCAGACAGTGCTCTTAACCTCTGAGCCATCTCTCCAGCCCACTAACTAGCTCTTACACTTAAATTAACCCATAATTCTTATCTATGTTTAGCCACGTGGCTTGGTACCTTTTCTCAAAATGACATTCTCATCTTGCTTCCCGTGTGTCTGGGTGGTGACTCCTGACTCTGCCCTTCCTCTTCCCAGAATTCTTCTAGTCTGGTCACCCCGCTTATACTTCCTGCCCGGCTACTGGCCAATCGTTTTATTAAACCAATTCGAGTGACAGATCTTTACAGTGGATAAGAGCATTATCCCACAGCACTCCTGCAAGGTTACATACATCCCCAGTGACCAATCTTCCTTCTCGTAGGTGCCACCTCTTAAATGCTCCATTATCTCTTTAGCACCGTGGCCTGTAGCACATGGGCCTTTAGGGGCCATTCCCAACGCAGGCTGTGTCCCCAGCTCACTGTCTCAGGGTATCCAAATCACCTTTGCCTTTCCCTGATCATCTCTATCAGTGTTCACTCTCATCCTCCCACAATCTATTCTCTAGCTTGAGCTTCATAAAGTGCAAGCTAGATCTCAGCCCTCCTTGAAATAAATCCCTCAGCCCACTACACCTGGGATCAAATCCAAATTCATTGCTGTGTCCTGCAAAGCCCTTGCAGTCCTAGCTTTTCACCTCCTCCTAGCTAGAGTCCTTGGTCTTTCTTCAGTTCCTTCAGGAGGCCATGCTTCTTCTGTACCCCAGGCCTTTGGGCAGGTTCTTCCTTCTCCCTGGACGACTGTTTCCCCCATCTCCCCATCCTCTCAGACAGCATGTCTCAGCTCCCTTCCAACTCGTTAGACAGCCACTTCTTGAGTCCCTTGGCGAGCAGAAGACTTCTCCTTCTGCCCATCTCCGTACCCATGTTCCCTACTTCACACTGCTTCAATTCCCATATCACAACTTCCAGTTTTATTTTTTTAATTATGATTTATTTCCAACCCATCTCATCACTAGTATCATAAGTTAACAGATCTTACTGCATGTCAGCATTGATCTTAGTATATATTATTTTAGTTAACCTTCATAACAATTGTGAGTTCCAGATAAGGAAACTGAGGCAAGATGTGGACACGTGACTATCCCAAGATCCCACAGGTTGCAACTAGCAGAGATAGCACTTGAGCCCATTAGTCTGGCCTCACTATGGTTTGCTCTGTTTGGGTTAGTCCCCACTCTAGCATGGAACTTTCTTGCTCATCTCTGAAAATCACTTCCATAACCTCTGCCCGACAGTAGTGACTATGCAGAGCAGACCTTCTATGCACTGTTGTGTAGTAGGAAGTTTTTCTGTGTCCTGCCTAGCCTGTGGTCAGGACAAATTTCTCACCCACAGTCCCGCAGCCTTTTATAAAATAATCACATAGAGGCTTAATATTAATTATAAACTGTTTGACCATTAGCTCAGGCTTATTACTAGCTAGCTCTTACACTTAAATTAACCCATAATTCTTATTTATGTTTAGCACTTAAATTAACCCATAATTCTTATTTATGTTTAGCCATGGGCTTGGTACCTTTTCTCAGTTCTGCCTTCACATCTTGCTTCCTCTGTGTCTGGCTGGCGACTCCTGATTCTGCTCTTCCTCTTCCTTTAGTCGGCTCGCCCCACCTATACTTACTGCCTGGCTACTGGCCAATCAGTGTTTTATTAAACCAGTGTACAACAGCATTATCCCACAGCACTGCTGTTGAGTAAACCAGAACAAGTGAACAAAAGCATTTATTGGTAGTTTGGCTCTGGTCACTGACAGGACTTGGGTCTGCCTTCCGCTGTTTGCAGACACATTCATCCAGCTTATCCCTGCATGCCCAGCCCTGAGGGCTAGACTAGTGAAACTGACTGGCAAACCAGTGTGGGCACCTAATAAAAGTTAGTAATTAAGGCTCAGGTGTAATCTTAGTGACCACATAAGAGTCTCATAAGAAGAATTCAATTAGAGATAAGTGCTAACCAGTGTCATCCCCAGGCCAGACTGGATGCCTGGTGCTCACTGAATAGGACTGGATGCTCTTTTGGTTTGTGGAGCCCAAGATATTCCTGAAAAGATCCCCAAATGGAGGAAAACCAGTGTGGTATGGGAGATCAAAAACTCAGGGTTCATGTCAGGTTTAATTGCCCTTTTAAAACCTAAGTAGTGAGGTTAGAGAGATGGCTCAGTGGCTAAGAATACTTGATGCTCTTCCAGAGGACCAGGCTTTAGTTCCCAGCACCCATATGACTATATCAG